TATTTCCAGAAGCGCAGCAATACACGGATATTTCATAAATTACAAAAATGCAACGGAAATTCCAATCCTTGGCATTGCGCAGTGTACTCTTATAGCTTTTTTTTTAATTTTTAGCATTAATACGGCCAACGAATGCCTTTGAAACAGCGCCGTTAAACTAAAGAATGATATCATTCTTAAAATGAAAAGTAATATCTAAATTTAACGAAAATCTTTTATCGCGCATCAGTTTATTAGACGATAAAAGATAAAACAGTGGTAACAAATCTTCCACAAGGACATCGATAGATACACGTATTGCCCTTCGGATTCCGTTGTAGTAAAATTTAAACGCTTTCTTATCGCTACAAAGTTAACGAATTCGCAAACCTGCCCATAATCTTCCGTAAGAATCGCATTTTCCGTCGTTAAATCGAGTCAAGCGATCGTCTTCTTCCACTTCTACGATCGTTTCTATTTTCCTAGTGTCCCAATTTACGTTGACGATTTTTCTAGCCACCGTCCCTATACAGAGACGATCGTTGCCGACGTAAGGAATTACGACACTGGCCGTTCCATCTAAAATAAAAAAATAAAAATAAAAAACACTCGAAAGCCTCCGTCACCCCCGTTAAGAGTAAATTAACAATAAAAGTTTGTATTTACTTGTATGAATTACGTCGATTTCGTTAGTGACCGGATCTAATCTGCAAAAGTTTCCTTCGAATAAATCGACGAATAACAGATTGCCGGTATTTTCTTCCCAAATCGGCCCTTCTCCTAAATTAAAAATTGTCTGTGATGCGGCGGAGACCGACATCTTAACGTCTCGATGCCGGAATTTCCGATAACCTTATACTTCGCTGCGATCTCGTATCGTTCTTATCGTATTATCTTAATAGATAAGAATATCGATGACACACCGTGAGTAGAGAAACGTAAGGCGGAAATCGTTCCAACTAAAGGAACTAGTCCACGCGCTACCAGGTGGCCCTTCTACCTTCCCTTTAACTCGAAAGCCGCGGACGGGCGCGGTACGGCGGAGCCCGGACCCTTTTACCTTCGCGAATAATAATAATTTTCTGTATAAACAGTGGTCGTAGCGGTCGAAATGTTTGTGGCCGCGTGCCGAACATATTTTAAATCTGTCGGTTGGGGAGAAGGTTTATAGGTACTGTACGCGTCATTTCAAAGTCTAATTAAATTAAACCGTAACGAATTTATGTCTCTTCGCTAGATGGCGACGCGCGGTCAAGGGATTAGCTATAAGAAAGGTGTATTATCGAAGTTTACTATTATATTTGAAAAAGTGACATTAAAAAATTAATTAATTAGCAAAATCTTTCGGGTATTAAAAAAAGTAACATGGTTACGCTAGATGGCAGTACGTGTAAATATGGCGGGTTTTTCGAATCGTTACCTGTTGTATCGGTGATTCGTTAGGCCTAACTGTACTCGCGTGAGCGAAGATTACGTCTATTCGGAAACGACAAAACCTCGACCGATCTCGAAGGAAAAGTAAACAGGTAAGACTAGGCTTAGTTCTAGTGATGGGAATATCGATAACCCGCAAAGCCGATAATGATATCGAACTAGGTTTAAAGTTTCGCCTTTCGGGTTCAAAAGTCATAACAGGGAAGGTTGTTTTAGAGATACTCGTGCGAAGAAACCTACGTAACATTTCCTCTTTTAACAGCGTGGGAATCCAACCCAGCGAGGCTGTAATTCACCGGACCCCAAAACTTGCAGTTTAGATTTGAAAGCAAGATAATAATCAACTCAGAAATTACCAAATACAACTACGCGCGCAAATTCATAATGTAACTTGTTTGTTTATTTATTATTTTACTTACTCGATACGTCCTAAACTCTGCATTACTTAACCCACTAACTTAATACGTTGTAAAAACTATTTTTCGCGGAGGAAAGAAAAACGTTAGCTTTGCCAGGATTGAGCCGGAGAGCCTGTTTCGTCTCCGCTTTCGAAAATGATCTTTCCGACGGAACAGAGCTTTTTATATTTGGGAATAAGGCGGACAAATGTTCCCATTCTTCATTTAAGGGGCAGCATTTACGGTCTATCAAATTTCGATATAGGTAATGTTTTAACTCTGTAAACGAGCTACCCGAGTCTCCGTGTTTCGGTTCCTGTCTGCTTCGCGGCTAGAGGGATGTGGAAGCTCCAGATATCGTCACTGTTAGTTAACTTCTAACTGATGCTCATTCCGTTCATTACTTGTTCTCGCAATATCTTTTAGGGTCTCGTTGATGCCAGGTATTGCCCGTGAACGAGCTATTGGTGAATCAAAATGCAACCTTTAAATCGCGGATCGAGTATATTAGAAATAGCGAGTGGTTGCTTTCGGCCAGGGCTGTGGAGTCCGAGTCGGAGTCGTGGAGTTTTGGTGTTTTAGCCGGAGTCGGAGTCGGTAGATTTTTACGCGACTCCACAGCTCTGCTTTCGGCATCCTTAAAATAGTCTGCCCGGGAATTCGTCGTGGCAACCCGAAAATTTTTCCCTATTGTTTCCGAAGGAGTTCTGGCAGCTGTGGCTTTAGTCACACAACTTATCATTGGTAGGACAGAACTGACTAATATATTTTTCACCCGAAGTCTGTTTCGTTAGCTGATCGAGTGGTTTCAAATCGTGTAAGTCGCAGTCTGGCAGTTCGCGAGATAGCGCAACAACGCTGAACGTCGCTTTCCTTTGTCTCCTCCCCTGCCAATTCACAGTTTTCACCGATATATCGATATTCCAATCTCAGCATTACTTAATTCTGCGAGTTTCCCAGCGTACAAGGAGTACGATGATTCCTTAGCGCAAAAAGCGGTATGATTCAAGCTCAAAAGTGTCATTTATGACTCTTTTACACTATTCGTCATCTATATTAATATTATAAAGAGGTAATGTTTGTAAGTAAGTTATGTATGCAAGTTTGTTTGCAGCGGGTAATCTCCGAAACTACTCATCCGATTTCAAAAATTCTTTCAACAATATTTAGAATGGAACCTCGGGGTGGACATAGGCTGTATATTATTCCGTTAAACATTCATATAAATTAAAATATATAATCTAGGTTAAGGCTTTTATGTCCAACAGATGGCGCTACGAGTACGACGCCCTAAGTTTGCTTTTCTGTGAGGCATTATGCTTTTCTGTGAAAATGAACTAAAGCAGATCATCTTCTATCTATCTATATAAATAAAAATGTAATGTTCGTTTGTTCCTACCGATTCCTTTGAAATTTTGACACGATGCTGCATTCGAATACGCACGTGTTTTTATATAATATACGTGTCGAAATTCCTCCACTGAAGGGAGATGGTTAGGATTAAGGCTTACCGTAAAGAACTCTGCTTCTATTTATACTATTTTGGATGCGGTTTTTTGCCTTTTAATAGGGTACGTCAACAGAATGTACAATTAAGAAGAAATTTTTCGAAAAATTCTCCCCTCCAAAGGGAAGTGTTATAAATTTATAATAGATACATTTTGAGCCACAACGCGTGGCGGGGTCTGCTAGTCGGCTAATATTGGGTTTATGGATAAAGTATGTGGATATTGCGGTGCTCCGAAGTGGAAGAATGAATCACGGAGATGCGGAAAAGTCAAACTGGATGTTCTTGCCCCCAACCTCATCACTATTAAATGGGAGTGGTCCCGCCACTAAACATTTCTTAACGAGTCACCGGGCCTCGAACGCAGCTATTAACGTCACAAACCAACAGATTTGCAACTACCAACGTAGCTGCAGATCTCTGTTCGTTTGTGCCCCTAATAAAAAAACACGAAATATTGTATATTAAATAAGTAAATATAATTTCGCGGCTAGTATACGATAAAGATTTCGAATGTGACAAACGTACTTATACAGATGTATATGCCCACGGTGACCAAACTGCCAGTCCCCTATATTTGTACCATCTTTTTCTTTACGCTCGAAACCCTCTATTTGCACGTACAGTACGTAAGGTTAAAATTTTCGTAAGTTTGCTGTTCAATATGTAGTGTTAAATACATACGGATTGTAAGCGTTTGGCCACACTCGATATATACATTATCTAAGAATTCATTCTTCATCCAGTGTTATGTAGATGCGCACTATCTACACTGGTTTCCAATGTGGGTTCTAGTTATCGCACTGGGAGTATCGATGCCTGGAAAACTCCGTATCTTTTTAGGGTGGTAAAAATTTTAGTTTGTCAGTTTGCCTGTTTATTCGCTTTTATATAAACCATGATAGCGTAAGTAGCGACAAACCTACTCCAGGAAGGCGATTTTGGTGAACCTGATCAAAATGACATATACAGTACGTATTTTTCCTCACCCCAGACAAAATCTCGACGGAGTCCTTGCTTCTAACGCGCGATAATCTTCACACTTTTAAGTCATCCCTTGTCAAAATGTACATTCCTGGAATCCGCCATTGCTAGAAACCTAAGTGTTGAACGCCGCACATCAACGATAAGCGGGTTTTTTACATTCGATCGTCGATTTTTCTAAATTGAGGGTGCGGAGACTCCGCAATTAATTAATTAATTCGTATCATTCAGCTGGGTAAATCAATTGTCGCAAAGTTTGTTTGCATCTTCGCTATAGTACTGTACAGTACTTATTCGTTGCGCTTATCGCAACTTACTACCACGTATTATAAGTCAGCAAGAAAAATATTTATTCCGTTATCTCGTATAAAACAATACAGCTGTGATAATTAAATGTACAGTAATTATCTACCAGCAATTATTTATTGAGTCACGATGCCTGGCTGCAATTTTTAATCACGTTTTAAATTTATTTCAATTAAAATATGCTCTCGCTTCAAATTAGTACCGTAGTGTCTTGCCTCCGTACGTCACACTTTTCCGTTAGCGACGGAGGTGTGCCGGTCATCTATTAACTGCTTTCGGGGGAAAAGTTTTCAATGGAAATAACGTGACTCGCAGTTTGCGTGGGAAGTTCGTATATAGTTACTCAGGACCCGTCCATAAGCTTTCCATATCTGGTCTCGACTTTTGTCTAACTCCGTTCTCGAGATTAAGGAAGGGCAGACGGTGGGGATATTTTTTGAAATTGTAGCCCAATTAAGAGTTGATCTTGGCACACCACCGAAGTAGGCTGTAGTACGTGGGTAAATATCAAAAATATATTATTTCTACATTAATTTTTTCTACTTACAGTATAGTCCAATACAGAACATTCTATAGAAAGTAAAAATAAAATCTAATTTTCCTAAGCGTAAAATTTTTCGTAGTTTAATTTCCAATAAATACGATGTTAAATCAATTTAATATACAGACGATTTCTTTTCAAATATATAAAAACTGTCTAAAGACAGTATTAACATAGGCTCTTCCAGAAATTTTATAGTTTTGTTGTTGTTATTGTAAAAGTACTTTATTCACATAAGAATGAGTTAATAAAATATTTTTAATTTGGATGACGTCAGCAACAGTCAAGGAATCATTGCTACGTTTCATCGTTCGTTTACTTGCTCAACATTTTCACTTTGGCACTCTCGGTCATCCGCCGAAGTACAATCGCCGGGCTCCACGATTACGGTTTCGGGTTTGGTCAGTTTGTCTCGCTTTTTCAATTCGCAGGCTTTCTTGTAAGGAGGATCGATGGGAATCTGAACGGGCGAGCGATATTCGTATTCTCTGCCTTCGATGTCTAACGGGTAGGACCTGTCCGCGTCGAAACCGCTGAGGTCTCCGCAGGCGATGAAAGGAACCACGGTGCGATTGGGACCGTCGACGTGCTCCACAGGATAAGAAAACCGTCCGTCCAATAAACTTAGCACGGTCGGCACGTAACCTTCCGGAGGAGAATAATTCTGACACACGACAAACGCTTCTATGCTGGAATTTCTACTACTTCGAGGTTTTGCCACGAAAACCGCGGGGAAAAATATTTTTAACTGGCAGTAGAGCAGATTTATGTCTTTACCTCTGAATATCTTTGCCACGAAGGTGCCGCCCTTTTTCAGCACGTGGGTCGTTATATTTAAAGCGGCCAGCAGCAGTTGTCCCTGTATGTATTCGTCTATGTCGTGTAGTCCGGTGACGTCGGGAGCGCCGTCGCACACCACCAGATCCGCGCTCTCCCCCTCGAAGTGACCGATTATTTGCTGCGCCGTCGACAGTTTCGTAATGTCCCCTTGAATCTGTATCACTCCGGGTAACGGAGCCATGGCCTGTAGATCCACGGCCACGATCTTGACGTCCCGATCGTCCGACCCCGTTCGCAGTTTCCGCGACAAAACTTGGCTCCAGCTTCCGGGAGCGGCGCACAGATCCACCGCCCGCTTGCAGTCTTCGAAGATGTTAAATTCTTCGTTTATCTGTAGCAATTTAAAGGCGCTTCTCGCTCTCCACCCTTCTTCCTTCGCCAGTCTGTAGTAGATGTCTCTCTTGTCTTTCGACGATCGTCCCATTCTGACCGCTAAATTCCCTGAAATAAAGAAATTGTCATTTATAAAGTATTATCTTCAATTATATGCGCTATGTTAAACTATTTAATTATACGTCGGCAATCGTATAACCTGAATTATTAATATTAAACGTAACTAAATTAGCTTTTGGTTTAACCGTTTCAATTTATTTACTATGTCAAATATATGCATAATCGCTACTCGTAAACATATATCTATACAGTATTATAAAGGCCTGCACGATCACGTCACTATGGGCGATATATACTGTCTCTTCTTTTCTGATTAGTTCCTGCCTCTGCATGTATTGAGTGTGACCCGGGAAAGGGAAGGCTCTAATTTGCCCTTAGAATGTTTATATCGCAAATCCAGATCCTTCTTTACCGAATTATTTTTCTCCCGCGGCCAAAATTTGCTTTATAGCAAGCTGTTACGTCGTAAGTTAATCAAAATGGTAAATCGTTGTTTTAATGGTGACCGGTTTCGTTGGGTTGAAAAATTGTTTATCTCTTTTAACTATTTATTCGTACAGTTGGATCCGTACTATTTTAAATGATAAATTACTTTTATGAAAAACATTGGTTGTCTTCACCGATCGATAAAATCTGTATGTTTATCTTGCTTCCTGCTGAAAATAAAATGAACGGCAGAAAGAAAAAGAAATATGTACCGACGAAAACTGATAAATAAAGTATATTTAAACACGATAAGAATAATATGTGATAAATGGACCGTTGACCAATTATTGGAGTGGTTCGAGGGTCGAAACTCGGAGACCCACAAAAGAATTATCAAACATTATAAAAGTCGGTTGTTTGATATAATGGACTATTAGCGAGGTTGAGGCCGAAGTTTTAAACGCGAAAACGTGTACGTCGGAGTTCACCGCCGCTTTCACGTAAGCCTAGAAGTTTGACAATGGTGTTTGGATTGTCGAGCATGATTCCACTGACTATGCAAACACCATTGTCAAACTTCTAGGCTTAGGGGAAAGCGGCGCCGAACGTCCGACGTACACGTTTTCGCGTTTAAAACTTCGGCTTCAACCTCGCTATTGGTGTTGGTCCATTCAAACCTAATGCTTTTGTATAGTATTTAAATGTCTACTCGGACTAATTTTATTAACAGGACGTATTATACCGACGTCTTTGTTCAGCAAAAGTTAAGAAAGCCTATCAGAGAAAACAGTCTTTATTTTTCACATGTACTGTACAGTACACTTTATACACGATATTGTGTTTCGGACTAGTTCGTCCCTCATCAGCAGGTCTACATTCAATATTTTAGTTTTTCGATTTTTAAACATTTCGAAAATCAGAATTACCAACAGAGCCACTTTTATTATAATTCTTAGATACCTATTACTAGATGCTCTCTCTCTTATATCCCCAGTCATTCCTTCTGTCGATAATTCTATTCCATGATTGGTAGATATATCTTCCCATATTGTTGTTCATTCTGTTCTGTTGTCTCGCTATGTAAATGTGTTCGTATAATTGCCTTTTGAAATTATTCTTTTCTTTTTTCTTTATTTTTACAGTACTCAAATCTATTTCACACTCATTCGTATTACAACGTTCTGCTACTGCAGAATTTGCATAATTATTTTTAATGTTCTTTTAAACATATTTTCAATTTTCTTTTTGTTTCTCCTATATACCTACTCCTATGTTTTCTTTTGTTCACAATTACAATTAAACGAATATACCACACCTTTTTCTTCTGTAATCTCGAATTTTTTTTATCATTTCTATAAAATAAATATTTTTTGGTTGAATCTGTTTTTTTCTGGTATTAAATTTATTTTACCAGCAATTACTTTTTTAACTCTTTCAAATAATTTGGGTATATATATATCAATTTTACAAACTGTTTTTCTTTATAAAATTGTTTTCTCGGCTGTTCTTCATTTCATAATTTTTGTATCCATTTTTTCAGTACAAATTTTGGGTAATCATTTAATATGAACATTTTGACTATTTCTTCTATTTCCTGAATTTGAGTTTCTATTTCAGTTGTTCTGTTTTTTTATTTTATCCACATACATTTTAAATATATTGTATTTCATACTTATTGAAACAGTTGATTTATAATTAATTACCTTAGATATTTGCATAGGCTTTACATATTTTTTTTATATATTAATTTATCATTTTTTCTTTCTATTGTTATGTCTAAATAGTTAAGACTGTTCTGTTTTAATTTCAAACTGTATGTTTCCTTTTATGGTGTTTGCTTGTTCTAATACTATTTGTTCTAACATATTAAATTCTATACTATGAGATCATATGCCTGTGTTTAGATCATATGCCTGTCATCTAACACAGGCATATGATCTAATGCTTTTGTATATGCAAATCTGTTCACTACACACTGGGGTATAAATGGTTTTATTATAGACTGGTTTTTGGGTCCTGTACCTCTGACGTCCCTCGTCCTAATGAATTATTAAATTATACAGTTTTAGTTTTGCACTATCTTGCGCTATCTTTGTTATCTAAACAAAATTAGCCTCTATAAATATTAATATTAAATCTGAAACTAAATTGGAAAAGTCTAAATAAACAACCTGTCTCAGAGATTTGGAAAATAGGATAAGATAGAAAATAATTTAATCAATTTTAAAGTACAGTCGTGGTTGTGATTGAATTAAGTTTTGCTTTATAATAAGTATTTTTATGTGGGAGAAAAGATATACTGTATAAATAGAAAAATGGAATAAGTATTGACATAGTGATTGGACCAAAATTAGCAGATATTTATATGACTGAATTAGATAAAAAAAATGAATGTCTTTAAAGGATATAGTTTTCATAGCAAGATATGTATATATGATGATGCAGTAACAAATGATAGTATAATTCTAAATTACACAAATACATTAAGCACTTAAAATTTGAACATAAATTAGAAATAACATTAATTATTTAGATATAACAATAACTATTACAATAATAATATTGATATTAGTTCATATAAATCATATTGTCCATAAAAAAGAACAGTTTTGTAACGGCCTTATCCAAGATTTGGACTAGAACAACAACGTTGGAAGAAAGGATTAAAAAAACAAATGAGTCATTATACAAATTTTTATTAAATGGATACTTGCACTAGTTATTAAAAAAATGGTCTATAGAATATAATAAATATAGATTTAATGTTAAATATAAAGATGAGAATAATATATATGTGTCCTTCTTTCTTTATATTAAAGATTTATTCGAAAAGTACAAAAATAAATTTAAAGATCACGGTATTGTATTAGCTGCTAACTTAGAAAATAAAATTAAAACTAGCAAAAGAAAAAGAAGGGAATTATAGAAGAAGTAGGGTAGTTTATAGTTTATAAAAATATTCAATTGCACATGTATAAAGCATGTTAATTATATAATTGAAATGGAGACAGCTGAAAATTAGAATCTGTGAACACGAAGCAGAGATTAGACTAAAATACAGCGGGTGATCGGTTAATGAACAAATCAGATAACGAACATTTTCGCAAAAGATTTTTATGATCAGACAACTAACACATGATCAGATAACGAACACTTCACTGAACAAACATAAAAAGAAGCGATGAAAATAGCAAATGCCAATTGATTTTCTTTTGTCTTCAGGTAACTTTTTGGAGTGAGAGAGATGTCAATGTCGACGCTCAACCCGATATATACTGATCAGATAGTATTCCTCGAACTTTGAAATACTCCGTTGTAATTCCAGCCTTTTATTTTTCTGACAAACAATTTTTTTATAGTATTTGCGAGACTGTCGGGTGGTCACTCATTAAGTTTTGCATCGGTTTTTATTTTTGAAAGGTAAGAGTATAATAGCAAAAGTAGAGAGTGGGCAGATGTTTGATGTTGCTGGGTAGTATGGCTTGAACAGGTCTACAGTAGGCCGCAGTTCAATCTTATCTAAGAAAGATACAGTATAATCAAGACTCAAGCAGCTAAAGGAGTAACAAAAATCACTTCTGAGAAATAAAGAACATTGAAGAGCTCATAATGGAACCTGAAACGGATCTGACGACAGAAGAACGTCAAGATCTCTTGAATGAAGAACACTAAGAAACTCGGCGAGATATGTTTTCTTCTGAAAAAGAGGATTAATGCCGATATCTGCTATTAATTAAAGATCTTTTGAAGAAGTGGGAGATGTCAGATCAATGGTCTTAGAATGGCATACAAACCAGGTAGAGGTTAATAGGCTTGGGGATCTCTACAATTACAATGCTATTAATTACTTCTGAAAATCCTGAAGAAGAGAGAAAAACAATCGACATTAGACAGATTCTTTAACCCCCACAAACAAAAAAACATGACTAATAAAAATGCAAGTCTGTGTATATATGTATTTTTATTATTACATATAAATAAACATAGTAAGAAAGTATATATTTTTTATTTTTTGGGGTCTCCAGAATGAATTAATCAAATTCCCATACAAACCTATGGTAAATTGATAACCGGTTAACGAACAATTCGGATAGCAAACAAAGTCTTGGAACAGATTATGTTTGTTAACCAATCACCCACTGTATAACCAATCTCCACAGTTTAAGTATTGTGAGAAATATGTATGTTCCATTGATAAAAGTAATGTTAAAATCCTCTATAAAGAAAAAGACACATATTTACATAAATTTAAAGAACATGTGGCAATTGTACACACAAATAATACTATTAATTTAAATAATGGAATGAAAATAGAGGGTGCATGGTGGGACATCATCTGAGATAAAAGTTTGTATAAAAGTGAACGTTGGTTAATTGATGGACAATTGTATGAACAGAAAATTTATAAAAGAAATGAAAAAATATCAGTTGTAAGTTTATATTGATAATAGAGAGGTTATGGCCAACATTTTCAACGTGAAAACGTGTACGTCGGACATTCAGCGCTGCCATCCTGTAAACCTAGAAGTTTGACAATGGCATTTGGAACG